AAATTTTTAAAGTTCAAAATTACATTGTAATAATAACTTATAATTATATAATGTTGTATTGCCTAATTATATAATATATAAAAAATAAAAAAATATATCATTTCGTRTTTTCGTCAATTTTTTAATCRYTTAAAAGGCGCATTTTCCTAGGTTGGCCAGGGGCGCTAACAAGTCTTTCTACGCCACTGCAAGTAGGTAACTACTTTGATTAATTAATTTTGAATTATAATAAAATAACAAAATACTCTCTCTTAAGAAAAGTAGCTACTAGGTATTTTTTACCAATGCATCAACAAGATCTACTTTGCTATCAGCAAATATAATATCGAAGTTAAAGATTTAAGAATTTTTTATGGCAGTAATGATAAACAAAAAAAAAATATTATCACATAGCGTTACTAAAAATCAGTGTTAACATTTAAAAAAACCATGAATCATGATATTGAAATATTAATACTTTCATTGTTTTGCATTGAACATAAAAACGGTTATGAGAGAAACAGGGCTTAAAACYGGTAGCCGGTTTGTAACGAAAACCGGTAAAAACCCGTATATTTGAGAACCGGAAACAGATAATCGCTTTTAGTTTTGGAATCCTGGAAACGGTTATTGTTAATCGGTAATCAAAGTAAATATCTAAATATTCAAAGCGGTTACCTCGTATTTTCAATCCCCGTTTTATAAACAAAACCTATTCCCGACCAAAAAATTAACGGTTTTTTCGTGGAATTTAGTAATTGAATTATGTTATGATAACATTATAGTTGAATTTAATTTTTACATTTTTTTTCCCCAATTAATTGCCGTCGAGTATTGCTTATCTGTTGTGAATATCACATATATATAAATAGATATAAGTGTATAACTATATATAATATTAAATTAAATTAAATAATAGTAAATATCGTCATAAACGTCGTCGTCGACCTTCGTCCTAGTGCGTTGAATCTTATTGCGAAATAGTTGGTGGAATAGGGKCTCAGTCCATTTGGTATTTACTTTTTAGTTTTAGTACTATTTAGTATAAACTATTAATTTACTATTAAATTATAACTCCCATAGCTCAAACCCTCCTGGTTCTTCATTTGTTATTTGTAGTGTTTGCTCCAAGGATTGGTCCGAAGGCTAGCGTAGAATGCTTGATTTGCAGACCCARGTTTTGGGGTAGGTACCTACTGTAATATAAATATTATTACCAAAAAGATCTGTGTCAATATATCACTCTAAGTGTCATCTTGAAAAATTATTATTTTWATTTTCGGTTTCTTACAGTTATAAATAAAAAWAATATAACAGTAACATTTTTTATGTAATTTATATTTTTGATTTATGAAGATCGCCATAATTTTGATCATATGCTTTAAACTTTAAAGTAGTTTGAAAAAATGAATATTTAAATTATTGAAGGTAATTTAACAAATTAAATCATATTAAGTTTTTGATTTTGTAATAAATAATAATAGTTATGTTATCAACCCACGAATGCCCTAAATAAATTGTTTTAAAAATATGATAAAAAAACTGAAAAAATKATTTTTTTAAACCGGTTTTAACCGGTAACCGATTACCAAATAACCTTATCAACGGTTTTTAAACGATTAAAGGTTCTTATAGTGTTTGAAATATCTTTAAAGAAATGGTTACCGGTTACCAAAATATCACAATTAAACGATAGCATTATTGAGAACGGTTTATACTCGTTTATAACAATAATTAATTAGTAGATAATAATGTTCTTCTTTTTTGATTAATACTGAATTTTTTTTATTGATCATTTCAATTTTCATTCATTTTTATTTTAGTTTTTAATTTGAACCAAGACAGACTGAATGTGRTATTTATTGAGATATTTAATTAGATATTAACTTGTCTGACAAAATATATCCAGTCACAATTGTACCTACTGTTGAATCATTGTGACACATTTTCACATTGGTAAAAACCAACTGTAAAATTTTACCCTATTACATATTATATAATATGGGGTTAAAAGCCAATACATTGAGATTTATATGATATTGCTGATTTGCTATTGTAAATTGGTTTTTTTATTTTGATAAAAATTGATTTTAAATTAACTATATATATTATTAATTTGATTCCATCTTAATAAATATATTATTTACATTGTGTAAAATGTAAATTTAACTTTAAATGGATATTGCATAATAAAAAGTATATGGATTGTTAATTTCTTGATATAATCTAGATATTGAGTTCAAAAATGATATATCACTATTAATTATCACTGGAATTTGTTGTCTTCATCTTACAAGTGCGAATATAGAAATGTACGCTCAACAGATCACGTTGGTTTAAAAATTAGAGTGAATGAGTTATACCTAGGAATTGATAAAAATTAATATCAGATCTAATTTATATCATTTTTCAGTTAAAACATAATA